GTTGAGATCAGGACTATCACAATGCTCCTTCTGTAATTCTTTTAAAGAAATATCCTCCCATTTACGAAAAACACGGAAGTCTGATAGCGTGTATTGATCGTTTTGCATGCACCAATTGTGTAAATAGTAAATTGTATTGTTTAATTCTTTATTAGTGCCAGCCTGGTAAGATTCGAGGATTTTCCTCTCATCTATCCTTTTATTCTCAATACTGTCATATTTTTGTCCTGTTATTTCTTCAACAATTTCGTCGTCGCTGAGTGGTTTCCATCCTTGATCATATTCATCCTCTGATAACCACAGATTTACAGCACTCGGATGAATCTCTTCGAAATCTATTTGTGAATAAGAATTTAGAAATAAGACGATATAAGATAAAAAAAATTAAAATGGAAATTGAAAATTTTTATCATTTGAAAGTTCAATCAAATAAAAATTTAGTTGATAAATTTTTAAAATTATTTAATTTATTGGATTTAATTGAGATGTGATTTAATTAAAATGTAGAAAAATTGAATTTTCGATTAATTTACCTTTTACTTTCTCTACCAATGAGTGAACTTCTTTTATCATTGACGATTTATCAATAACATCGTTATTTTCGTTTAATCCTGAAACACCACGAAGTTTGTTCCATGCATTTTTAAGGTTGTCTTGTGTCAATGCTTCGAATGCATTCGCTAGCATTAAACAGCAATCTCTTAAATTAAATGTTTTTAGAAAATCGGGAATAGTTACTTTATCGTTGTTAAGGATTAATTGCCTGAGTAGATGTTTACGGTACACATTTTTGGCTTTTGCTATTACGCCTTGATCCATAGGCTGGATTAATGAAGTGACGTTGGGTGGCAAGTACTCTACTGTGAAGTTTTCATTCACTTTATTATGAACTTCTTTTGGCGGATGACATTTAGCGTTATCCAATAATAACAAAACTTTCCCAAATTTTTTCGTTTTCTCCTGCATTTCCTGGACTGATGGAATAAAACGATTTTTATACCAGTCAAAAAATATTGCTCCATTCATCCATGCACTTTTCTGATGTTTGTAAATAACCGGTAAGGTTCCCACATCTTTAAAGCAGCGGGGATTTTGAGATTTGCCTATGACTAATAGCGGTAAAGCAAAAGTACCGTCTGCATTTGCACAAAATAACGCTGACAATCGATCCTTATTTAACTTCCAACCTAAAAATAAAATTTTTAAAATTTTTAAATTAAGTTACTATAATAATAAGAATTGAAAAATTACACTTAAATAAACGATAGTAAATTTAATAACTTCTGATCAATTCTTTCAAAATTGTTATAAAAATCACCACATTAAATTGTGTAATTTTAGAGGTTATGATGATATTTTTATTAGAGTCTACGAAGATTTTATACAACGTTTAAAACAATTTTACAAAGGTTGTTAAAACTTCTATGCATTATAAATGCAATTTCGCAAATTTACAATTTAACTAAAATTCGATAATAAATATTTTTATATATTATGAATTAATAATATAACTTCCATTATGTATTATTAAATACTTATTTACTTTTTAACATACCAGGACAATCATGCTCTTCATTTGCTCCAGCTAATGTTGTTAGTGGTAGCCTTCTCCAATAAATCCCACTTTCGTCAGCGTTAAAAAGCAAAGATAAATCGTAACCTTCCTCGTTAACTAAATTTTGACAATCGAATGCAAATTTTATGGCAGCATCTACGTCCGCAGATAATTTTTCGCCTTGCATAGATAACTGCCTTATACCATGTCGTCGTTTAAACTTATCCAACCAACAATTGCTAGCTTTAAATTTTATTGCACCATTCAATTTATAATTCAGGATCAAGGCCTTTTCTCTAAACAACGGCCCACTCACTGGCTCACCCAAAGAACGTCTTTCATTAAACCACATGATAAGACTTTTCTCCAGATCAATATTGTGCACTGGCTTTATAACTTTTCTTTTTTTCAGGACTTTCAAATTTATATTTTCAACACCTAACAACCTGTCCTTATTTTTCTTAAGATTACTGATTGCTGCAGGTGTTACATTATACAGTTTAGCCACTGTCGTTCCTTTCGTACCTTTTTTTAAAGCCTCCAAAATATTAATTTTATCCTGCAGAGGAAGGTGCGTATGCGTCTTCTGCTTTTTACAACACATTTCAACACATTCAACTAAATTAAACTAAGTCACAGATGATCATAGAACACGTTTGTAGACGAGGTTATGTTTATTTATGTGTCAGCCATCTTGGCACCACTATGCGCATGTGTAATGACTAAAGTTTTTTTTAGGTAGAGGGGGTACGTGATAGGGGAAAATTAACTTATGGGAAGTTAACTTATGGGAGATTCGACTGTACTAATGTGTATAATCTTCATGTATCTGTTTCAAAAAATACCCAAGTGTCAAATTTTAAAATATATATATAATTACAATATTTCATTGTAATTTCTTTATAAGAAATATATTTCCTTCTTAAAAAAAAGTTCTACAAAAAAGAATTTTTCTTTTTGTAGAAAATTTCAACGTAGGAAAATACAGGTAAGAAAGTTTCATTCTATTATATTGAGGTTATGTGATTGTTGTAATTTTTTAATGGTTGTGATCAATATAATTAATCATTGCCTTTTAATTTAAAAAAAATTTGATATAATTTAATTAATTTAAAAAATCGACTGATTTTCTTTCAATAATATTTTTATTATCTTCTAAAATATCATTCTACTCTATTGTTTTGAGTTTTATTATATGACATACAAGTTTCATTTACACGGTTAATTAATATTTGTCTTTCATAATTTGAATGTGCTTTCTAATCGGCATTTTAAAATTTTTAAACATTTTGGACCAATGTTTTTAAATTATTTTAATAAACTTCCAATTCCAGACTCTTTTTTTAAGATAAAAAACTTAGTAGTAGTAGTTTCACTGAAAAATATGTTTATTTAAAAATCGAAAATCATGATTTTTATTTTAAACAAAAAATGTGGTCCTCAAATGGTTAAGTGTGAATGTGACAAACTTTAAAAAAACCTGTTTTTTATGTCAACCATACAAAATTTTTTTGCGATATAATAGTATTATATTTAAAAAAAATTAATTTTAATATCCTGCATATATATATATTAAATATATTGTAATTTTATTGGTTTTGTAGATAGAAAGAAAACTTCAAGGATTTATTAACAGCAAGCCAGTGAAAAAGTACAAGAAAAAAACAATATATATTAAAGGTCAGTCTTTTCTCATTATTATTTATTTAAAAGATAATCTACTTTCTTTAATTACATATATATGAAAAAATTATATTATTAAATATAAAAATATATAACATTTTATTTTTTAATAGATTGCTGTTGGCATTATATGTATATGATTTATTAATAGTAAAAAATAATAGCAATTAAATATTGAATTAATATTTTAAATTATTTAAATTTATAATAATAATAATAATAATAATAATAGAATGTTATGTGTTTTATGTATTTTACTAAAAAATTTTATTGACGTTTAATGAATAATAATTTTTGTTTTATTTATATTAAATAATCTTATTTCGAAATATTGTTCAAACATTAAGCAAATTTAATCATATTAATATAAATTAAAATTTGTAAATTATAAAATATTGACACATACATTATTTTGTTTCAGGAGAATTCACCATCATCGAACGTACTCATACAATTACGCACATTCTACCTCTACAACTTTATTATTATATATTAAATTAATTTGTCATGTAAATATTGTACTATTTTTTGTATAATAAAATAAAATTATTTTGATGTAAAATTACTTTTGTTAATAAATAAACATTAAATAAAAACACTTTATATTACGTAAAAAATAAAAACCATTCATTACCTTCTATCATCATTTATTGAAATTGTTGAATTAAATATTAATTTAAATTCAATTGAATTAAAATCAAGAAATTAAGACTTTAAGAAAATATAAGACCAAAAGAAATTATTATGATTATAGAAAATTATTAAGAACAAAAAAGGAATTTTTTTAAGACTAAAAAAGATTTTTAAGACTAAAAAGGAATTTTTAAGACCATAGAAAGATTTTTTAAAACTACAAAAAGAATTTTTAAGAAATATTTTCGAAAACAATTTTAACTACTATTTATGTAAACATTAAATAAGAAATATATATGCTTTTCAAGACAAAAGAAATCATTATTAACACCTAAAATAATATTAAAATAAAAATAATTATTTAAACAAACGAAACTTTAAGAAAAAGAACACTAAAATGTCTGAGACTATAAAAAATATAAAAAGGGTAATAAACCGAAAAAGAAAAATAAGAAAAGACAAAAAGAGTACAAATGAAGTAGATAAATCTAAACGAATGAGATTTGTTCATGACCTCACATCAACATTAAATTTGCATAATGTTCATGAAATTAGTGGTAATAATGAAATAAATATCCCTTCAACAAGTGAAAGCAATATTTTAACGCACGAACATAACATCATCAACAATAATAATAATTTTAATGGCATTCATCAACAAAATGATATTGATAATCTTTTAGAAAGTGCTAGACTTAATAAAATTTCAGAACATTACTTGGGTGATATGAATGTGTTATGTACTCACTGTAAGGCAAAACACTTTAAGGCAGAGAAAGTAGGTAAAAAGGGAAATTCTTTTAACGATTATTGCAGTCATGGCAAAGTAGTCTTAGATCCATTACCAGATCCACCAGAAATTTTAAAAAATTTGTTTGAAGGCACTCATCCATTATCGAATCACTTTTACAGTAACATACGAAAATACAATAATTCATTTTCATTTGCTTCTTTCAATTCTAATTTGATAGAATTTAATAACAGACGGCCTGGACCTTGTTGCTTTAAAATTCAAGGACAAATCTATTATCAAATTAATACATCTTTATATCCTTCTAATGATGAAATGCCCAGTTTCGGACAACTTTTCATAATTGACACTAATGAAGCTACCGATTATTGAATGAATATGAATTCTGCATTAAATGCAGAAATTTTGAGTGCAATTGACAATGCAATGAGACAATGTAATACTTTCGCAAATGCGTATCAAATGATGAAGGAAGAATTGGATTCTATGACTGTCGAAAATAATGGTAACGAACCTGAATTACAACTGTTGTTTACATTAAAAAAAGGACAAGATAAAAGACGTTACAATTTTCAAAGAGTTAATGAAGTTGCTGCAATTTTTTCCACTACTGCAGATGGAGAAATTTCGGAATCGTATGTTACAATACGTAACAAAAATACTAAGGATTTACAATATGTTAGCTCAATGGATGCTAATGTTGAACCATGGACTTATCCATTATTCTATTCTCACGGGACAAAAGGTTGGTGTGATAATCTAAAAATGGTTAGCAGTAATCGTAGAGTAACTAGAAATGCTTACATTAAGTACCGAATGGCTATTCGAAATGAAACAAATTACATTTTGATGGGAAGACGTTTATTTCAACAATGGACTGTTGATACATATGAAAGTCTCTTACAACACTTGGAGAAAACTGCAGAAAATACAAGCAGTCGTGTTGGAAAAGTAATTGTTCTACCCTCTACTTATCCAGGATCACCAAGAAATATGTTACAAAATTATCAAGATGCAATGACCATAGTACGAAAATTTGGTAAACCTGATTTATTTATTACAATGACTTGCAATCCAAAGTGGAGAAAAATTACAGAAAATTTGTTGGATGGACAAACTGCTTCTGATAGACCTAATTTAGTGGCTCGTGTTTTTGAATTAAAAAAAGAAGAACTCCTTAACATAATAGTTAAAGAAAAATTATTTGGTGAATTGCAAGCTTACGTTTACGTTGTTGAATACCAAAAACGTGGATTACCACATGTTCATTTATTGAATAATTTAAAACCCAATTCTAAAATTACAACTCCTGAAATTGTAGATAAATTTATTTCAGCTGAAATTCCTCATCCAACAGATAATCCAAGATTACATAACATCATTGATGCCAATATGATTCATGGTCCTTGCGGAGACTGGTGCTTAGATAAAAATGGCAAATCTTCAAAAAATTATCGAAAACAATTTAATGATCAAACGACTATGGATGAAGACGGTTATCCCCACTATAGACGACGAAATACTGAGACATATAATCGTCGTGATGGATTTCAATATGATAATCAACGCGTTGTACCCCATAATAAAGAATTCTTATTGCGATTAAATTGCCATATTAACGTAGAAGTAGTTACAAGTATTAAAGCAGTAAAATATCTGTATAAATATATTTACAAAGGACACGATGCTGCTGTTGTCATTCAAGAAACACAAAACAATGATAATAATAATCAAGAATTGGGGGTTATTGAACATGATGAAATTAAAAATTATGTTGAAACTCGCTATGTTAATCCACCTGAACCATGTGGCCGTATATTAAGCAACAATTCGCAAGGAAAAAGTCATACAATTTATCGACTTCCTATTCACTTGCCAAACCAGCAAACAGTTGTTATAAATAATGTAGATGATCAAAATTCAGTTAGATCTGCGTTGAATAAATCTACTCATTTTCATTCATTGTCAACCTTTACGACCGGAAGAACTATGGGAAGAGTTTGAAGTTGCTTTATCTCAAGACTACTCGAAAACAATGTCTGACATTTTTGCACAAAAAAAAGCGTACATTCAAATCAATACATTGCTCATTAATGAAAATTCAAGTCTAACATGTTTTCCATCATTGCTACAAATAACAGAAACAGAAGATGACATTGAAAATGAAATATTAATAGAACAACACAAAGAAATTGGTACTAAACAATATGAAAATCTTAATGAAAAACAAAAAGAAATTGTAGATATTGTTTTAGAAACAGTTGATGATGAACAAATGATTGATAATAATAGAAAAAGATGTTACTTTATTAATGGAGTTGGAGGATCCGGCAAAACATTTGTTTACACAACTTTGATTCATTTATTAGAAAGTAAAGGAAAAAAAGCTTTCACAGGAATTGCAGCTACATTATTGCCGCATGATAAAACTGTTCACAGGACTTTTAAATTACCAATTGCAATTTATAGTGGTTCATCTTTGACTATTAAAGCACAATCCAAAGAAGCAGAGTATTTAAAAAATATAGACGTATTTTTTTGGGATGAAGCACCAATGGCTCCAAGGCATGCTCTACAATTAGTAGATCGCAATTTAGGGGATATAATGAACAACGATAAACCGTTTGGAGGTAAGATAATGATACTTGGAGGTGATTTTCGACAACTGTTGCCAGTCAAACAGAATGCCACTCGCAGTGAATTGGTCAATCTCTGTATTAAGTACATTCGTGTGTGGTCTGCTTTTTTAAATTTTCTTTAACAGAAAATATGCGAGCTTTACCACATGAAAAAGAATTTTCATCATTTTTATTACAAGTTGGAAATGGAACGGCTAACCACAATGAAAATGACTTAAGAATACCAGAAAATTGTATAGCTACTCCAAACAAGCAATTTTGTCAGCTCGCAATGTTGACGTAGATGATATTAATAAATCAGTAGTTGAATTATTAGATGTGTCAACAGAAAAAATTTATACCAGTATTAATACTGTTAAAAATTGCGATAATAGTGAGATTGGTGAAGCCCTTCTACCTGAATATTTAGAGACATTAAATCCTCCAAATTTACCACCACATGAATTGCGATTAAGAATTAATACAGTTGTTATGTTAATCAGAAATCTTTCTATAAATGAAGGGCTATGCAATGGCACAAGATTGCAAGTTTTGGAATTAAAAAATCACTTATTAAAGTGCAAAATTTTAACTGGAGATAAATGTGTTAATATAGTGTTTATTAATCGAACAACTTTATACAGTGATAAGCGGTACCCTTTTGAATTTGGACGTAGACAATTTCCAATTAAAATTGCATTTGCAATGACTATCAACAAATCACAAGGGCAAACTTTTGACAAAATAGGAATAGATCTAAGGCGAGACGTTTTTAATCATGGGCAACTTTATGTTGCATTATCACGTGTTCGTTCTTGGTCATCACTCAAAATATATTTAGGAGACCAAAGGGAAAATAATGTAGTAAAGAATATTGTTTTTCAAGAAATTTTTTATAATTGAAAAAAAAATTTTTTAATTAAATTATTTTAAAGGTCATATAACATTTAACAAAACATTCGATATTTAACATTTAAAAACAAAATAATAAATATTATTGATTACAGAGTACATTAACCTTCTTTAAAATCAAATTATGAATTCATATTTATATATATATATATACATAAAAAGAATGTGAAATATTTTTTTGTCATTTATATAACAATATCTGCAAAGTAACAAAATTGTTGAACACAAAAGAGTTGCGATACTAAGTAAAAAATAATTAAATTTTATATGATTAATACTTAAAAAATTAATAACCTAATTAAAAGAAAACATATTTTTAACATAAAAAGTATTATATTATCGTATAAAAAATTAAGTCAAAATATAAATCGACGCCTCCTGTTCATATAATGCTTATTGAAAAGCCAATGTAATACAATTCTTATTCAAGATTTTGTGGAATAAAAGTCTTATTCGAAATTCCGGGGAATAAAAGTCTTTTTCGAAGTTTCGGGGAATAAAAGTCTTATTCGAATTTCCGAGGAATAAAAGTCTTATTCGAAATTCCGGGGAATAAAAGTCTTATTCGAAGTTTCGGGGAATAAAAGTCTTATTCGAATTTCCGAGGAATATAAATCTTATTCAAGGTTCCGAGTAATAAAAGTCTTATTCAAATTTTCGTGTAATAAAATTTCTTTTCAGAATTAAATGCGAGAAAAAACAAATCCTTTCTAAGATTGCAATCAAAAAAATTCTTATTCAATATTTCGTAGAAGATTGAGGTTTAATATATAAATAAGTTGAAAATAATTTTTAAATATATTTGTTTTGTTTCAAAAGATTTTATGTTATAGGTTTTTCTGGTTTTCTGGTTCTCTCCTGGTATTGGTTCACTTGCACATTCGCTAATATTTGATTCGATGAATACTTTTTTTCTAGAGTCTTGAGGAACTTATACATCTGAAAATTGTACTTGGTACCTTTTTCTATTGAAGCATCTTTCAAAAAATTTATATTCTCTTCCAAATTAATTTGCAAAATTTATTAATTGATCAGTCTACAATACATAAACTTAAGAACATTTTTTTGCAAAATTAATTAATTAATCTATAAGGCACAAAATCTGCGACATTTTTTTGCAAGATTGTTTTTGTCAGATTAATTTTGCAAAATCAATTATACGACTGCAAAATTTTTTGCAATATTGATTTGGTAAAATTAATTTAGCAGAAAAATTAAGCAAAACGTATGCAAAATCCATTAAGCATAAAATTTGCAAAATTTTTTTCCGATCAGTATTTTTCGAAGTATTATTTAATCAATTGTTGCCGTTCATTAACTTAAAGTTATTTGAAACAGAAATATCTTTATTTTATATTTTGGATTCTGTTCACATATAAATGTGTAAAAATGTGTATAAATTAATTCTTTTGGTTCTTCAATTTACATGAAATATGTTATTCCTTGAGATAAATTTGTATGCAAAAATGGTAAAAGTTAATTTAAATTTATCTTATTTTTTATTCATCATTGATTTATTTTTCTAACCATTAATTATTACAATAATGACTTAAATATTTTATTTTTATGTCGTCGCAATATTGATAAATTCTTGTTAATAAAAAAAAATTTTATGTTTTACATGAACCTACTTTAAATTACATATCAGTTGAAGTAGATTGCTCCTAAATTCACTTCATTCAGGAAGGCCTGATAGGTTAATACTGTATTCCGATAGATTTACATAAAAAATAGTCAGCATAAAATTAATTTATTTAATAGAAATTTCTCTAAAGTTTGTTTTAAAAATATCAAAAAATTAAAAAATTTTCTGAAATCTAAATTACTGCATGTTATGTCTTTTGTCAATATTGTCAAAAAAAAAGAATTTCATTTGCTCCTAATTTCATTTTTTGACAATTGACAAAGAACGGAATGTCATTCCATAATCTTGTTGAAGAGATAATTATTTAATTATCTACATAATATAATTGTGATATTTTGTTAGAAAATTCGTTAGTTTTAAAAATGCTGAACAATTAGGTAGAGAAATGGATTTCTTACGGATTCTTCAACATATTAATTGAGCTGGTTTGTATTATAAAAACGGAACTTTGTAAAATAAGATTTTATAGTAAAATTCAAATATGATTAAAATTCTTCTTATATACAATTTCATCTTTTTAATGAAATATTTTTAAATTATTCTTATAAATAAATATTATAATACATTTTATGATTATAAACCTTCAGTTTTATTATAATTCTTTTACGAAGTTTAAAAAGTTAACAAAGTTAAGTTTATAAAATTATGTGAAATTTTATCAATAATTATTCAAAAAGTAATTATTAATTTAAGAAATAAAATGTAATTAAGTTAAAATTTACGTCTACCGTTTTTTGTGTAGATTTGTGAGAATACAGTATTAACCATTCCAAAATATACTTTGATTTGAAATGGATTCAAGAGCATCTACTTCAACTGGTAAATAATTTAGATAAAATAATTGGAATAAAAATATAATATAAACATAAAATCTTGTAATACATAAAATTTTGTCTTTCCTTAAATAATTTTTCATTAATTTGACAACAATAAAATATATATTTAAAAATCGTTTTTATAATAATTGATTGCCATAAATAAATAATTAACCAAAATAAATAAGGGGCGCATGAATAAGTTCTAAAATTAATTTTTTAGTATTTCCATTTCTTAGAATTTCATTAAATAGAATTTTCTTTTAACCGAATTTTAATTTGACGGAATTTCTATTTATCTGCTTTACTGTATTACAGAATTTTTATACAACCGAACATTCAATTGACAGAACTTCTATTTCATCGAATTTTTATTTCTCAGAACTTTCATATGCTCGATTTTTTGTTAAACAAAATAGCCATTTAGACGAAATCTAATTAGACAGAATTTTAATATAGAGAATTTACTTTTATGTGAAGTTTCATTTTTTAGAATTATTATTTCACAGAATTTCTATTTCATCGATTTTTTACATTACAGAATTGTCACTTATCCAATTATTCATTTAACAGAATTTTCATTTGATCGAATTTTTATGTGCCAGAATTTTCATCTTTTCGAATTTCCATTAAACAGACTATTCATTTAAACGAATTTTTATTAGGTAGAATTTTAATAGAAAGAATTTACTTTTAGCGCAAGTTTCATTTTAAAGAATTATTATTTAGCAGAATTTTAATTTAATCGATTTTATACATTGCAGAACTTTTATTTAGTCGAAATTTAATTTAACAGAATTTCTATTTGATCGAATTCAGATTTGTCATAATTTTTATTAATTCGAATTTCCATTTGTTACATCCCGGTAACAATTTTCCCTAATTTTTCTTATTCTTATCATTAAAATAAGACATTATATATAATTCTGTAATAATTTTACAATACTTAAACTGTATGTCTTATTTTAATGTATTTATTTATGTATATATTGATAGGATAGAGTGTGGAAACGA